TCATAATTGAGAATAAAATGTTAACAGATTAACTGACTAGTAAGTCTGGCACTGACTAGTGACAGCAGCAGAGTTGACTAGTCCCACACATGCCTAGTTTGTGTTTTAGTTCACTCAGTGCTGTTTCACGTCAGGTAAGTGTTTACTATAATAATCTGCTCCCACTTTGTTGGTAAGGGTTTTTCATGGTTCAGCAAAGCCTGGATTCACTTCAGGATTCTTTCAGGGTTGAGAACATTTCCACGCTCTGCCTGCTCTGATTCTGGATGCATTTGCAGGTGATCTGCAAGTCAGATGCTCCTACAGGTGATGTGCTCCTGGACGAAGCTCTCAAACACATCAAAGACACTCAGCCACCAGAGACTGTGCAGAGCTGGATCGAGCTGCTCAGCGGTGAGTTCAGCCGTCCTGCTGTGGGCTCTCCCACTGCACTGTGTGCTTCCTCACTGTGTTTCCAGGTGACTCTTAGCAAAACACTGTGTCTGCAGGTAAAGTGTAGTTAGAGTGAGTGCTGTGATGTGTGCACTATGAAGCAGGTAAATAACCTTCTTGAATAGGTTGACAGGCATGTTGTTGTAACAACCGGTCCACCGACAACTTTAAAGAACCGACATCTCCAATCACACCAAACTGTCTACAGTTTATTGAGCTAAAGGTTCATTGAGGCCGTACTGGCGCTGATGCGGTTCTTCTGTTGTCTGTGGTGTAGACGTAGCTGAGCTGGTTACACTGGCGTGCGATGGCACTAACGGTCTCGTGTTCTGTTGGCTCCTTGTAGGAGAGACGTGGAACCCGTTGAAGCTTCATTACCAGCTGAGGAACGTCCGTGAACGGCTGGCCAAAAACCTGGTGGAGAAAGGTGTCCTGACGACGGAGAAGCAGAACTTTTTGCTGTTTGACATGACGACGCATCCCCTGACCAACAACAACATCAAACAGCGCCTCATTAAGAAGGTGCAGGAGGCTGTGCTGGACAAGTGGGTGAACGATCCTCATCGAATGGACAAGCGGCTCCTGGCTCTCATCTTCTTAGCCCATTCCTCTGATGTTCTGGAAAATGCCTTTGCCCCCTTGTTAGACGATCAGTATGACCTCGCCATGAAGAGAGTGCGGCAGCTGCTGGAACTGGAGCCAGAAGGGGAGAGCATGAAGGCCAACGCCAACGAGCTGCTGTGGGCTGTGGTGGCTGCTTTCACTAAATGAGGGGACAGCAGGCAGTGGCGTGACAGTGGGGGTGAAAATTACTCCTGACCCCAACATTTTGACTTTAGTGACTTCTGGTACCAGACGCCTGGATTTTGTGGCATGGGCTGCCCTGTTTCCTCTTCCTGTTGATTCTCTTTGATGATGCTCCATGACCCTGTCTCTACCCTGCATCAGTGTTCACTTTCATAAAGACTAACCGTGGTTAAACGCCACGTCACATGAAGTGCTTGCTGATGGTTGGGTAGGCCTGAAATCACTGATTCATATCCTGTTTTTCTTTTTAACGAGTGGTACAGACGTCACAGGTTATCAACAATGATGTACGTGTGCACAGCAGCAGGGAAGTAAAAGGTTAGATGAGCTGGAGTCTAATTTATTGGGAGTAACATCTGTACTGGTCCACTGTGACTGGGCCACCATCAGATTGAGTTCCAGATGTTTGCTCAGTTGTTGGGACACTAACTCCAGTTTGGTTTGGCTCTGTTGTGCTGCTGGCATAGTTAGAAGTGAGTCACTGAAAACCAGTATAAATTGGTCATGATGATGGAACCTCTCCTACAATACCAGTGTGGCCACTGTCGAGGCACGAGCACGGACCCGTACGTGATGGAGCGAGCCTTGCATCATCAACACGCCCGGTGATGGACGATGCTGTAGCACTGAAGCTGTCCTGGCTCTGTTCTTACTAACCCACAGGATTGAGTTTTCGTCTGACACCAGTCTGTAGCTCTGTGACGTCACTGGTTTGTATGGCCGTTTACATTTTGGGAATGAAGAAGTAAAACTTGGTGTATAGCTCGCTCACACTTGGACCAGGCTTTTGACTGGAGAAGTGCAACTTCAGTTCCAGTTTTGAACAACTCTGAGAACCCGTGATGATAATAAACAAAGTTCCTCTCTGGTTTGCAAAAACGCATCAAGTGTTGAGAAGCCAAAAGTCATTTCCCATCAGGCTGTGGCAGTTTCCAACGCAGAACAACATCAGACAGCATAGAAGCAGCTGAGTGCTGTCGGCCTGGGCGGCGCCCGTGTCGG